CCCTAAAAAATGTACTATAATACTTATACTGGGGAAAAAAAACTGTGAACGCTTTATCAGAAGCAGTGCATAGTTCTTAGTGGTTGCTATAGTTCACAAAGCAAAGTAAAATACCAAATAGACCTCTGTAAAAGAAAAAAAAGCTGAACGCTTTATCAGAATCAGTGCATAGTTATTAATGATTGCTATAGTTTACAAAGCAAAGTAAAATAACAAATAAACCTCTGTAAAAGAAAAACAAAAGCTGAACGCTTTATCAGAATCAGTGCATAGCTATTAATGATTGCTATAGTTCACAAAGCAAAGTAAAAGACTAAATAGACCTCTCTAAAAGAAAAAAAACACTGAATCTTTTTTTTCTTTTACAGAGGTCTATTTGGTATTTAACTTTGCTTTGTGAACTATAGCAATCATTAATTACTATGCACTGATTCTGATAAAGCGTTCAGCTTTTTTTTTCTTTCACAGAGCTCTATTTGGTACTTCACTTTGCTTTGTGAACTACAGCAATCATTAATAACTATGCATACTATTTCTGTTGGAGGCGCTCAGACCCCCACATACCAGCTGCATAGTACGGTGCGCCTTATGGTCGTGAAAATACAGTGATTTAAAAATCTTAAATGAGTGAAAGACCAGTAATGCACTACACACAGTGGTGCTAAAAGACACCAAACACAGTGGTGGTTATGCTCCAGATGTGTATCTCTGATTGTAATTTGTTGTGTTTTCACAGTCTGCTCCTTGTTTGTACCGACATAATAGATGTAACTGACTTGAAATACCATGTAATGTTCCTTTTTAAATCAACAAACATATGCCAAACTGTTGCCCGCTATATAATGTTCTTATTTAATTTCAGGCCAAGCTGAATAGCCACAGAGGGGGCAGGCTGAAGAGGAGGACTCCTACAGAGACCGCAGAGGAAGATATTCAGATTAAAAGAAGAATGCTTGAGCTGATGGAGCAGACATCAAGGCGCAATCAGGAGAACATACAACAAATTAACACAAACATAGCCAACATCACCAACATCATACAAGATGGATTTTCGTTACTGAGGGAGCTGTTACTCCAGCCTCCACCTGCACGTCACTACAATAGCAACACTGCTTATGGACACTTCCAAGGACACCAACAGTCACACTTGTACCCAAATCCACCATCCAATTCAACAGCCCACTGTCACACACCAAGTCCAGCACTCCACTCAGGAAGATATACACCAACACCCCCACAATCACAGGAACCGTCACAACATAACACACCCTCATTTTCTTACACCAGATCACTTTTTCAAGATGAATAAGTTCATCTGTTGTACAGTTACAATGTAGCACATCATCACTCAGGTGAATTGTTTGGTTCGTTGAAAAGAACCAAGTTATTTTAGTTGTTTTGATTTTGCACAGCCTGGGTTATGTGACCCAGCTTTAACAACTGTTTCACTTTAATACAGTTATAATGTAGCACAACATCACTCGGGTGAATTGTTCAGTTCTTGGAAAAGAACGAAGTTTTTTTGTACTTTTGATTTTGCACAGCCTGGGTTATGTGACCCAGCTTTAACAACTGTTTCACTTTAATACAGTTATAATGTAGCACAACATCACTCGGGTGAAATGTTCTGTTCTTTGAAAAGAACCAAGTCATTTTGTTTTTTTGATGTTGCACAGCCTGGGTTATGTGACCCAGCTTTAACAACTGTTTCACTTTAATAAAAGCCATACTGGAGTGTGCATTTGTTTCATTTATTGCATTTAAGCATAACATTTAATATATCTATATTTGTCAATATACAAGTCAAGTGGAACTTTAAGATCACTCACAAATATCTTGAACTTGGAAGTGGAATCTACAATTGGTAGTTATCAACTTTTTTTTTTTTTTTACTCTAGCTAAAAATATCTGCACACAGGTAATATGAAGGCAGGACTAGTAGTCATACAAATAGTTATATACAAAGTAAATATCTTGAACTTGGAAGTGAAATCAACAAGTTGTAGTTATCAACCTTTTTTTATTTGTTTTTTTTACTCTAGCTAAAAATAACTGGACACAGGTAATATGAAGGCAGGACTAGTAGTCATAAAAATACTTATATACAAAGTAAATATCTTGAACTTGGAAGTGGAATCTACAATTTGTAGTTAACCTTTTTTTTTTTTTTTTTTTACTCTAGCTAAAAATATCTGCACACAGGTAATATGAAGGCAGGACTAGTAGTCATACAAATACTTATATACAAAGTAAATATCTTGAACTTGGAAGTGGAATCAACAAGTTGTAGTTATCAACCTTTTTTATTTGTTTTCTGTTACTCTAGCTAAAAATATCTGCACACAGGTAATATGAAGGCAGGACAAGTAGTCATAAAAATACTTATATACAAAGTAAATATCTTGAACTTGGAAGTGGAATCTACAATTTGTAGTTAACCTTTTTTTTTTTTTTTTTACTCTAGCTAAAAATAACTGCACACAGGTAATATGAAGGCAGGATTAGTAGTCATACAAATACTTATATACAAAGTAAATATCTTGAACTTGGAAGTGGAATCAACAAGTTGTAGTTATCAACCTTTTTTATTTGTTTTCTGTTACTCTAGCTAAGAATAACTGCACACAGGTAATATGAAGGCAGGACAAGTAGTCATAAAAATACTTATATACAAAGTAAATATCTTGAACTTGGAAGTGGAATCTACAATTTGTAGTTAACCTTTTTTTTTTTTTTTTTACTCTAGCTAAAAATAACTGCACACAGGTAATATGAAGGCAGGACTAGTAGTCATAAAAATACTTATATACAACGTAAATATCTTGAACTTGGAAGTGGAATCTACAATTTGTAGTTAACCTTTTTTTTTTTTTTTACTCTAGCTAAAAATATCTGCACACAGGTAATATGAAGGCAGGACTAGTAGTCATAGAAAATACTTATATACAACGTAAATATCTTGAACTTGGAAGTGGAATCTACAATTTGTAGTTAACCTTTTTTTTTTTTTTTACTCTAGCTAAAAATATCTGCACACAGGTAATATGAAGGCAGGACAAGTAGTCAAAAAAAATACTTATATACAAAGTAAATATCTTGAACTTGGAAGTGGAATCTACAATTTGTAGCTAACCTTTTTTTTTTTTTACTCTAGCTAAAAATATCTGCACACAGGTAATATGAAGGCAGGACTAGTAGTCATAGAAAATACTTATATACAAAGTAAATATCTTGAACTTGGAAGTGGAATCTACAATTTGTAGTTAACCTTTTTTTTTATTTTTTTTACTCTAGCTAAAAATAACTGCACACAGGTAATATGAAGGCAGGACTAGTAGTCATACAAATACTTATATACAAAGTAAATATCTTGAACTTGGAAGTGGAATCAACAAGTTGTAGTTATCAACCTTTTTTTATTTGTTTTCTGTTACTCTAGCTAAGAATAACTGCACACAGGTAATATGAAGGCAGGACAAGTAGTCATAAAAATACTTATATACAAAGTAAATATCTTGAACTTGGAAGTGGAATCTACAATTTGCAGTTAACCTTTTTTTTTTTTTTTTACTCTAGCTAAAAATATCTGCACACAGGTAATATGAAGGCAGGACTAGTAGTCATACAAATACTTATATACAAAGTAAATATCTTGAACTTGGAAGTGGAATCTACAATTTGTAGTTAACCTTTTTTTTTTATTTTTTTAATCTAGCTAAAAATATCTGCACACAGGTAATATGAAGGCAGGACTAGTAGTCATAAAAATACTTATATACAAAGTAAATATCTTGAACTTGGAAGTGGAATATACAATTTGTAGTTAACCTTTTTTTTTTTTTACTCTAGCTAAAAATATCTGCACACAGGTAATATGAAGGCAGGACTAGTAGTCATAAAAATACTTATATACAAAGTAAATATCTTGAACTTGGAAGTGGAATCTACAATTTGTAGTTAACCTTTTTTTTTTTTTTTACTCTAGCTAAGAATAACTGCACACAGGTAATATGAAGGCAGGACAAGTAGTCAAAAAAATACTTATATACAAAGTAAATATCTTGAACTTGGAAGTGGAATCTCCAATTTGTAGTTAACCTTTTTTTTTTTTTTTTACTCTAGCTAAAAATAACTGCACACAGGTAATATGAAGGCAGGACTAGTAGTCATAAAAATACTTATATACAAAGTAAATATCTTGAACTTGGAAGTGGAATCTTCAATTTGTAGTTAACCTTTTTTTTTTTTTTTTACTCTAGCTAAAAATAACTGCACACAGGTAATATGAAGGCAGGACTAGTAGTCATAAAAATACTTATATACAAAGTAAATATCTTGAACTTGGAAGTGGAATCAACAAGTTGTAGTTATCAACCTTTTTTTATTTGTTTTCTGTTACTCTAGCTAAGAATAACTGCACACAGGTAATATGAAGGCAGGACAAGTAGTCAAAAAAAATACTTATATACAAAGTAAATATCTTGAACTTGGAAGTGGAATCTACAATTTGTAGTTAACCTTTTTTTTTTTTTTTTTTACTCTAGCTAAAAATAACTGCACACAGGTAATATGAAGGCAGGACTAGTAGTCATACAAATACTTATATACAAAGTAAATATCTTGAACTTGGAAGTGGAATCAACAAGTTGTAGTTATCAACCTTTTTTTATTTGTTTTCTGTTACTCTAGCTAAGAATAACTGCACACAGGTAATATGAAGGCAGGACAAGTAGTCATAAAAATACTTATATACAAAGTAAATATCTTGAACTTGGAAGTGGAATCTACAATTTGTAGTTAACCTTTTTTTTTTTTTGTTACTCTGGCTAAAAATAACTGCACACAGGTAATATGAAGGCAGGACTGGTAGTCATACAAATTGTTATATACAAAGTAAATATAGTAGCTGTTCAAAAGCTTACAAATATTTTCCCAAATGCAGATCTGTAGTAAATGTCACAATGCAATATAGTGTTTTTGCATTTCCACTATCCTAGTTTTTAAGGATCAAGGTACTTCATGACAACTCTTCTCACTCTCTTTCCTTCCCCCTCATTGCAGTCAGTGACGTAGTTGTTGCTCTGTGTGGGAGGCTGAGAATCCATCTCTCCTTGCATTGTTCCTAACACGGATACTTCGTCCATGGTCTCCTTTGCGGCCTCACAGAAATTATGAAGGACAAAGCAAGAATATATGATGTAAGGCAGGTCAGTCATATTTATGTCCATCGGCCTTCTGAGTGCAGCGAACCTAGCTTTCAGGCGGCCAAAAGCACACTCAATAACCATACGTGCCCTACATAAACAGAGCCCAAAGTACTGCTCTTGTGGCGATGATCCACCATTGGAAAACTCCTTCATCAGATAAGGCAGAAGCGGATATGCTGGATCTCCAAGGAGGAAGATTGGTATGGGATCTTCATCATCCACAATCTGCCGTTTGAGAGTAGGAATCTTGCCGGTTTTCATGAACTGATTTACCTCCGAGTTAGCAAACACGCGTGCGTCATGCACACTTCCAGGCCACTTTATAACAACGTCCATAAATCGGTACTTATAATCGCACACCGCCTGGACATTTAGGGTGTGTTTACCTTTTCTATTTATATAGTCCGTGGAGTTGACCGATGGCTGTTTTATTTCAATATGTGTGCCATCAACTGCTCCTAGGCATTGGGGCATTCCATGAGCACGCTGAAAACCGTCGACCAGTTCCGTGGCGGCATCCTCTGAAAAGGGTAGTCTGATGTACCGGGGACCAAGGTGAATGGAGATGGCCCTGCAGGTCTGCCTGACTGTGACGGCAACAGCCTGCCGCGATACACCAAAGGCGTTAGCAGTCTTTCGGAGCCTGCCCTCGTCACTTAAATAATAAAGGGTCATTGCTACTTTTTTCAGCGGCTCCATAGGTGCTCTCATGTTCATTTCTTGGCATTCAATGTATGGGCGTATTTCATCGGTGAGCATGGCAACAGATTGTCGTGACATGCGAAAGTTTGCCTTCCATTCATCGTCCAGAACAACACCATTAACAAAGTTGTCCCACCAGCTACTGGTTCTGCCAGGCCTCACCCAAAACCTTCGCCTGGTTGCCCTGCGGGTCCATTTCCGTGGTTCAGTCATATTGAGGTGATGAACTATGTCGTCTATATTACTCTGTTCTTCCTGGAGATATCCCAGAAGAAGAAGATTCTGCTGTAAGCCCGACAGCAGGGTGAGTAGCGTGAGCAGCAACCATTCAACACAGTAAGGCGCCATTGTTGTTGTGATACTATCGTCGCGCTTGCGTGTTTAGAGGCGACGCTATGACGCATGCGTGTAAAAAAAAAATGCGGTTAGGGTGTAAAGATGGAAACGCTAAAACGGCGTTTCAGAATCTTCCCACTCTGAAGGGTGAATAAAAAAAAGATCGTTTACAGACCCCCGAAACGCCGGCTTCGTGTGGATGAGAGGCTGGTTTGGTGAAAAATTTGTGCGTTTAGGCCAGGGTTCGTCTTCGTGTGGACGGGGCCTTAGGCAGTGTTCCCCCCATGCCTCCACCCCATGGAATTCTAGGGGAGGCTTTAACATGTAAATGAACATGCTGTGAGCTATACAAATGCAAATCAGGGTTGCAGGGGGGGTTTTACTCCAAGTGACATTTTTCTCAAAGGTAAGAAAATCTCTGATTCAAAGAGATCAGGCTCAGTATAGCCTCTTACATTTTAGCTTGAATTGATTTATTTAATTAAAGTATAGAGACCAAAACAGATCTTTAGCTGACAGAGCAATACATTTAGAGCAGTAATTATAAAAAAAAAATTGCATTTAAGATAAAAAATAAAATGTTGTCTGTCAATATGCTCAATTCACAATAACTTAAGTGGAAAAGTTTCAAGAAATGAGTCTGAGATGATTCACTTTACAACATGGCGCATTATCCTGCTGGAAGTAGCCATCAGAAGATTGGTACACTGTGGTCATAAGGTCCGGCCAGGTCAAGATCCGCAATTGCAATCGCACCAAACAGGAAAAAGAACATCGACAAATTCCGGTCCGTCAAATTAAGATATAGCAGCAACAGATCGGTGACTAGAAATTATAGCACAATTCTTATATATATATATATAAAAAAAATAATAATAACACCGTTTATTTAAATGATTGGATCCAAACTATTGGTTATTCACCAACGAGGAAGCAGATTTCTCATCTCCATCAAAATATTTATTTTATACCGAGGGACTTAAACTTTAATCAAATCCATTCAAAAGAAACTTCTTATTACAGGAATGAAAAGAGATGCTGAGTTTGGGAGTAGAGAACAAGTTCATTCAAAAAAAGCAGTTTTGAATTATCCTTATCCCCGTTACAAAAATCTACAAAAATATATATATATATTTGGGCAGAAGCTGAACATATGCTGGATGATGGTGGGATTTTTTTAATATGCCATATTAAATTAAGCACTCACAGGGTTCATACAGGAATGAGTGACTCTAATTTAATGCTATTTTAATGCTATTAGAAATGATTTTAATGCCATCAACAAGAACCATGTACACAAGTTATTAGTGTACATGAAATATGAAGGAGCTGTAAGCAGAGTTCCATGACTCCTGTATGTATGTTAACACACACACACACATATATACGTATATATATATCCTCTAGCTTTTTCTCCGCCAGCAGCGTTATAATATATCTGACGAAATGTTTTTATAAGCATTTTTTATTAAACAATTATAAATACTTCGATAAACATATTTAAATAATTTTAGTGCCAATTAAGGCCTTGATTTAAAAAAAAAATGAATGAATTTTTAATTATTTTTATTGATCCGCGGAAACCCTGGTTCATCTCACGCATGCTCTCTACAGCGGAGGATGTATGCAATATGCTTTTCAAATAAAAAACAAAATCCTACTTTAAATATCAAAATGTACGGTTACCTGCTGGAACAAGTGAAAGTAGTGAGATATTTAGGTGTGTGGATGGACTATAAATGAAATTTTGGAGTTCATGGAGTTCACATAGATTATGGTAGTATAGTTTATAGCTCTGCGAATAAAACCTTACTCAATAAGATAGAAGTTATACAAAATCAGGCTTTACGTATTTGTTGTGGAGCATTTAGATCATCTCCAGTAGTATCATTACTAGTTGAGAAATGCCACTTGAACAACGAAGGACTCAACTGAGAATGAGATATTGGGCTAGTGTAAAAGGACATGAAGAAAATCATCCGGTCAGACTTCTTCTGAAAGATTGTTGGGAATATGAATATAACGAAATAAAAAGCTTTGGATGGGTAGTAAAGAAAGAGGCAAGCAGTTTGAATTTGAAAGATTATGTAATAACCCCAACTGTTCCAATACCGGCAATTCCCCCTTGAATGTTTTCTACACCAGTGATCGATTTACAAATACAAAAAATAATGAATAAACGGGGGGAAAATACACCAACTGATATCATAGTACAACAACATTTAAGTAAAGAATATTATTCAGCTCTACAGGTATTTACAGATGGGTCTAAGGAGCCAGAGTCTGGAAGAACAGCAGCAGCAGTATACATTCCGACATTCAAAATAAAAATTGCAAAAAGAATATCTAATCATGTGTCAGTATTTACAACTGAAGTATTAGCTATCATAACAGCACTACAGTGGATCGAAGAAGTTCAACCACTAAGAACTGTAATATGTACCGACTCAATGGCTACGCTAAATAGTCTTGTAAGTGAAAAATCTGAAACTAGGTAAGATTTAATATTTGAAGTATTGCAAAGTCTATTTAGAATAAGGCAGTTAAAAAATACTGGTATACTTCCTCTGGGTGCCAGCACATGTGGGTGTAGATGGAAGTGAGAAAGCGGACAAGCTAGCAAAAATAGGACCAAGTGATAACGACGTGTGACTTTTTCCTCTACAATGTTTTTGGGATGCAAAAATATCACTCTTTCGAACACATAATGTTTTGGGAAGAGAAATGTTTTATTTCGCTGGGTCTAGCAAACCTGCCGGACTACTTTCGGCTTGACCAAAGCTGGACGAGAACTCTGCTCACAGGATGCTGCCAGGGGTAAGTCAGTGTGATTGCATGACACTGGTGATGGGGATGCCATACAGATTCATGTCAAAAATCCCAAACTATCCCTTTAATTCAACCATTATCTGGTTGCAGTCATATGACTCGTCATGATCACATGGGACATTCACACGTTCATTGAACCATTATCTGTTTGCAGTCATATGACTCGTCATGTTCACATGGGAGATTCACACGTCCAAAATGGAGAGAGTGATGTGGACATAGAGTTTGAAGACACTTATGCGAGTGATGAGGAGTCAGATAACGATGCCTGTGTGGACAAAGAAAACCAGGAACCCACTGACTGCACAGCCAGGACATTGGACATTGAGCCCCAAGCAAATTAACACATCAAGTCCCTTGACAGATATCGCTGGCAAAAAAAGGATTTCATCAGTCCCAATACTGATTTTTCTGCTCCAGCTCTCACAGATGATGCAACTGTCCTCCACACACCGCTGCAGTACTTTGAAAAGTTTGTCTCAGAAGACATGATTCAAGCTCTGGCAACCCATACAAATGAGTACAGCGTTCAAAGTAATGGAAGATCTGTGAACGCCACAATCAAGGAAATACAGAAAATGTTGGGCATGTACCTGAGGTTGGGCTTAGTCCAAATGGCTGGAACCCGTATGTATTGGGAGACAGATACGTGGAACTTCCCAGTTGCTGAGGTGATGCCCCACAACAGATTCCAATCACTTTTGACAATATTAAATTTTATGAACAATTCAACAGTGTCAGAGACTGAAAAGAGGGACAAGAGGGACTCTGGAAAAATTCAGACAATGGCTTGAGCTTTCAATCACTGCACTATGGAACTATTGATTACACTATGGAAATACTGACTTGAATTATGTCTCATTTCTTTTACTTCTATATCTCTATAATATATCATAAATGTATCTGTCAACACTCTTTCCTGGTCATGTTAATCTTGTCTGCCTCAACTGACCTAGTATGTTTTTTTGCACATTTTTTTGCAACTCATAGAATGTTCTTTGCACAATTATCTTTATTACTCTTACTTGTACATAACCATTTGCAAGGATGTACTAAATAATTGAGACATATACAAAAGTATTTGAAATTTGATGAAAGTTATGATAAATGCCATTCTGTTGTGAGGAACTGCAAATTAGTTTTGGGATTTGTCCATGTTTTGAGAATGACATCTCAATTTCAAAAAATGAGCCAAACCAAGGGAGAAAAACTGTACTGTAACACACTGGGGAGAAGCTGTCTGTCCCTGTTTGTCTTGGCTGTTACCACTGTGAGGTGTGACCCCCTCACCCCTCACCCCACACACGGCCCATAACAGCCTCATTACCATGACAAAATGAGTTATTAGTGTATTCGGGAAAAGCCGCCGGGACAATTGACCCCTCCCTGGAAGTTCTAGGTAGGTGGAAAAATCCTGGTATTTCTAGTGTCCAGGTCTTATGTTGCACAAAGAAAAAGCCTCTGCATCCCGGTTAGATTATGTTTCTATTGTGCAATGATAGGGATAAATTATATAAGAATTGGCTAAATTTATCCAGACATGCTGTTTTTCTGTGACCCAAATGGCTAACCTGAACAAGAGAGCCAGAAGTCATGAGCCTTTTCTATTGCTTGGATTTGACTGGGTTTGCTGTGTATATCCTCCTGCCAAGAGTTATAATGGTCATACGAAAGACCCATAGTCACGGAAAATAAAAAACAACTGAACTATGCTAATGACAAGGCTCACGGCTGTGTAGAGAGGCTGAAACAAGGCTTACGGTGATGATTACAGGCATTGCTGGCTACGGTGGCAGAGGCTGGGTGAGAGGGCCAGGGTTGGAAAATAATTAGGGGCATGGCTGAATAGGATGGCTCGATAATGTTGCTTGGGGAGGTGGCTGAGGCACAATATGAAGATGATGAGTTCCAGGGTTGAGCTGTCCACTCTACTGGCCCTGTGAGCTGTGACAAGAAGCTGTGCTGGCTGCTGTTGTAGCTGGCGGTTATGCCAATGATAGGACTAATGCACTAATTACCAGAGTGAGAGAAGAGAGGGAGAGCAAAAG